TAAAACCTGTATCTAAAGATAACTTCACACACTACATTTTTGGCTTCATATAGTAGATTTCAATATGTGGCACAATAAAAGTCTATTTTGTTTCATTAAGGTTTTTAGTTCTAAAAATGTGTACCATTATACATGCACTATGACTCCTTAGCACCTGCCATAAACATGCTTTTCATATCCTGATATTAACTGGATTGCATTTCCATCTTGTGTCCGATGTGTCTCTAGTGTCATCAGATGGAGATCCTATAACAGTTTCCACAAAAATGGAAAAACACTACTTGCATGTTATATTAGAAGTTCTGTTAATCAAAAGAAGTGTAATTTCATCAAATGTTATGCTGACAGGAAAGATCTGAATGGTGTCTGTGACTATGAGAGATAACAAAGGCATCTTCAACAGAAACAGACTCTGCTGGGGGAGTTCTTATGTAGATTTTGAGTTTTTCGACCTTATTGAGAGTGACAGATTGTAGCATGATTGCGGTTAATCTAGACCAGCGGTGTCCAGAAGAGTTTAGCTTCAACCCCAATTAAACACACCTGAACCAGCTAATCAAGCTCTTACTAGGCATACTAGAAACTTAAAGGCAGGTGTGTTGAGGCAAGTTGGAGCAAAACTCTGCAGGACACCAGCCCTCCAGGACTGAGTTTGGGCACCCCTGGTCTAGACCATTTAGTTTTTCTAGTAGTAGCATTTTGTAACTACTATGGAATCGTACATGTAGCCAACATGATGATAAAATTGGGCTAATAAGATTAGAGTTTCTGGGCCACTTTGTGCTGCATTTTAAACCAACTTTAAAAAAAAAAAAAAAAAAAAGGATGCTTTTTTTTTTCCCCCTACAAGTTTTAAAGCTCCTGCAAAAATATAGTGTGATGGATAATTATTATTAATTTACCATTTACTGGTAAGTACATCTGCGAAAATGCTTAATGGTTTTTGAATTGTTTTATAAGAAAGCAATGTTAAGCAAGATTTTTTTAGAATATTGCATGTATTTTGCTAATTGTTGCCCATGCAAGTGAAAATCACCACTACTCACCACTGAAGTTACACCACACAAGGAATAATTGACGGTGGACTGTTTAATCTGTTCTTCTAATTTTCTAAATTATTTACTAGTTCAGCGCTGAATATAAAAATATTTTACATTTTTGTGAGCAGCAGTGGCAAGCGCTTGGGTTATAACCAATCATCAAATTATTAAACAACAAAATCACAGACATTTAATTTATCTCAAATTAAAGGGCTGGAAACATGATAATTTTAATGTCATGGAACTTCAAATCTAATACAGAAATAAAATACAGAGCAAGCATGAGTTGGGTTGCCAGATAAAAATAAATACAAAATGTCATAGTTGATGAAATTATCTGTGATAAAACATCTCTGATTGCAACCTAGTTCACTAAGATGAAGGGAATGAGACTTTGGGTGCTTCTCATTTCTTATTTGAGCATCCTCGTTTCCTTTAATTGCTTCCTTTACTGCCTCCCTGTTTTCTCCGGTCTTGCATATAACAAGGTGTTGGAGACAAGTATGTTATCATTAGTCATACTGGAGAGAAAGGAAGGGAATGGCTTTAAACTTATAAACCATCCCTACGAATGTGAATCATGCCTGTAATGAGCAGTGTTGGGGAAAGTTACTTTTAAAAGTAATGCATTACAATTTTGCATTACTCTCTAAAAAAGTAACTAATTGCATTACTTGGTTACCTGTTATGGAAAATAATGTATGTTACTTTTGTTTTACTTTTTCTCATCTGAGCTGGGCTTGCTTGTTTGTTTTTAATGTTAAAAGAAAAACAAAAGTTCTATTTTTGGCAAAGGTAAAAGCCCTTTCACACCAAAAGTAAAATGTATACGCCTCAGGCTGAATCAAATGTAAATTCAAATAGCACAAACAAACCTTTCAGCTGTGCTGCCATTCTGGAATGCTTAAAGACAAAGACACGGGAGTAGTTCAACACTCTTCAGCAATTAAAAAAATGAAACACAAATGTTATGTTTATCTAAAATCATTTTTGCTTATTAGAATGGTTTAATTGATTGAAAGGCCAGCAGCGAAGACACTGGTAATAAAACGGGATTAAATACATAAATTATATTTGTGTTATTTAACATTTAATTATTGCAGGTTTGTCATATTCTGAGTTTGCATTTCACAGTTGTTATTCATTTTGAGGAATACTGAATCTGTTTTTGTTCAAGTGAGATGAGTAAATGCATGTTCATATTTAGTCTAGAACTACAGTAACATGTTTACACAGCGCACACATCGTCTCTGCACTTACTCCCAATTTCTCTCAACATGGGGAAAACAAAGTAACTGCCATTACTTATTTGAAAAAGTATAGCTCAGATATTTTAAAAAGTAATGCATTACAATACAGTCCCCCAGACGAAAGCTCAATAACATCTGAAGATGTAGAACCCCTTTTGACTATTATTGGGTGGGACGGCCTCTATCGTGTCTTTTGTGAGGAGGTTTTGAATTTTTAGACATAGCACCAGTGCACCCCACGGGGAAATCATGGATGATAGAATGCCATCACACAAGCTGAATCTTATAATCTAACTGGACGGTTTTCATTAGCCAGTCAGATATTCCTGTAAGGGCCGCCTCCCATTCATCTACATGAGTGAATAACAGGCATAGAGGACTGTTACAAGAATCTGTAAACAGGCTTTTTTGGGAGCCAGCTCCAGTAAAACGGTGGGCTGAAGGCTCCTCTTCACAGAAGAGAAAGCATTGGCCAAGAGTCACCAAACTTCCCATTGTGCAGCAGATTGAGCTGTCACGCTGGTAGCGCAGAGCATCATATCTGTCACACTGCAGTATAGAGTTTGGGATTAGGGCTGTTTTCATATATGATAAGGAGTTTTGCCTGACTGTTGTACAGGCTTTTCGCACCTGAGGAGGTGAGCATGCATGGCTTAGAGTGATGCGATGGGCATGTTTTCAATTCCAATGACACCGCAAAACAGAGATGCACAGTGATGGCCTCATCAACGGAGGGCAGCTTGAAGAATGGCACAGGTCACCGTGGCACGGCCTTCTGATGGCGAACACAACTGAAGGAACCATTCGTCAAACTTGAGCGAGTCTAGCAGGGGGACATGGCAGGGAGCGGAGCGGCTATCCACTTATGAAGTGAAAGAAATGTTGTTTTGCTTGCTTTTAAGTTAATGCTATATATGCTTTAATATAAAAATATTTGAATGATATGTGATTAGAAAGTACCTAAAATCCAGCGGAAGGACGTCCGGCAAATTGGACATGAGTCACAGAGATTGATACTCCTAAGAAGTAACGGGAAGATTGGATTCATGAGATGCAAGTGGAATTCCCCAAAAAGAAGTATAAAAAGATTGAGGAGTAAATCACTCTTCAGATGCTGCCTGCATTAAGCATGAAGGACACCTGATACCCTATCGAAGGATGCTTAACAGCATCTCCAATATTGCTGTGTAGAGTTTGATTATAGAACTTCAGCCTAGCTGATTTTAAGTTTTATTTTTGCATTAACTGAGCCTCAAAAAAGAACAACCACAAGGGAATCCTGAAGAACTTCAACCTGTAGGCAGGTTTGCAGGTATTTTATGGTTTATGCTAGATTTGACTATACTTACCCTACCAGAATAATCTTAGGGTTTAAGATAAAAAGACACAGAGAATCAATGTGTAAATCGGCATGAGTCTATAAGAGCTTCAGGATTGGTTGGAGAAAGGAGTGAAATTAAATAGAAAAGAACACATGCTAGTCAAAAAGCATGTGCAATTTAGGCCCAGTTTCATGGTTTAGCCTAAACCAGGATTAGGCCATAGTTCAACTAGGACATTTAAGTAATTTTTATAAACATGCCTTAGAAAAAAGCATTACCGGTGTGCATCTTAAGACAAAACAAAGGCGCTGACATGTTTTAAGATCAGTCAGTGCAAGTTTCTTTCAGTTGAAACAGCTCAGATTTACATTTTAGTCTAGGACTAGGTTTAAGCCTTGTCTGTGAAACCGGGGGAAAGTGTCTTAATTCCCATAAATTTTAAATAACAATAAAAATCACATTACTGTGCAAGGTTAAGTGTTCAGATTCATCAGGTTCTCTTGTAGGCAAGTCAGACAAACACAAATAAAGAAAGTGTTTCTTTTATTCAATCATATTTTTGTCTTGTTTAACAACTGCTTACGATTTAACTAATGATTTGATTTAATTTATAAACAGTTAGAGGTACAAAGTTGGGCCATTTTAAAATCTGTACATTTTTATTGTTTAATTATAGCTTTTAGTAAATACAAATGTGAAATTGTGTAGGTAACGTGGCGCAGTGAAGTCCATTCACTGCAGCTACGACACAAAGAGCATGAAATGCTTCCACTACAAGAGTAAACAGCAGGCACTCTGTTAAAATCTGAAAATTGTTACTGCATTATTATAGTTAATATTTTGGAATAAAGGTAAAAATGCTTAAAACATTAAGTTCTTGATTCTAGAGAATTTTGTCATTTCAGTTTTGTTGCAACAGCTTGGGGAAGGCCATTTTTTGCTCCAACATGACAATACCATGTGCACAAAGTGAGGTCCACACAATTTGACAGGCCTGCAAAGAAGCATAGACCTGAACACAATGTCAATGCCTGACCTTCAAAAATGCTGGATGGAGCTTTTCAAATAAATTCAGCCAGTAGTGCTAGTGTTTCTGATATTTAGTCTTAAAATCATAGATTACTACATGTACATTGAAATTGAGCTGTTTGCACTTGTTGGTTGTGTCTAGACTGTGGCTGGATTAACAGAAGTATGTTGACACCGTATGTATATCTGGGCATTTGAAAATAAAGTTTGCATCATTTCAACATTCTAATATGCATATATAAGATTTTATTGACTTTTATTGATTTTATTTGGCAATCATAAAATATACCCCAAATCAGCAGATCTCTTTCTTTGTTTCTTCCATGCCAGCAAAAGTTGTATTTGTTTTGTGTTACGCAATGCTTAAGCTGCCACAGGCATTTCCAGCCAGGTCTATCTGCTCCTTTTCTGTTGAGATGCAACATTCATTCATGCAGCATTACCCTCATAGTACATGTGTATTGAGTACATTGGTTGTACCCTCATTACTGTGGTGCATTATGGGATTGAATGAGAGCACTCGATAATGCCCACGATGGTTTCAGACACCACTACAAATGTCTATCCACTCAAACAGTGCATTATATAAAGGTATAGGTGTCTATAAAAATTGGATAATTGGATTAACAATTTCAAGTCACATTTCAAAAGGAACTCTTTGCTACCAACTTTTTCCAAAAGTTAGATTAAAAATTATATACCATATCTTATCTTTATGTTTAATAAAATGTTCAAATCAAGCATACCTCCTTGATTATTTGAATTACATGAAATATTTCTATTTAAATAGTGAGGCTTGTTTTTCCATATGACATTGAATAAGGTTGAGTCAATTTTTTAAGAAAATATTTTGGTATATCTAATAATACTTAAGACTAAACGAGATAATCCATCAGATTTGTACAAAAGAATCTTTGAGTAAGAAATCCCTCATGAACCACATATTCAATTTCTTTCTAATTTTCAAGATAATGGGTTGGGGTTGTGCCCTGTCTGACTGATTTTTACAGATATTAATACCAAGATAAGTTACTTCCTCCCAATACCTTCAAATTCAGTTAAAGGAATGCCATTGTCTTTAAGTGGAAAACATTTACATTTTTAACATTTAGAGATAAACCTGCTTCAGAAAATACGTTGAGACACTCTATAAGTTTCTTAACCTGTGATATATCTTTCAAAAAACAAAAATCTATATCATCAGCGAGCTGACACCATTTAAATTCTCTATCCCTAATTCTGAAGCCTTGAAAAGAGTTGTTATGTAGGCCTTTATGTAAAGCCATTGTTTATGAGCAGAAGAAAAAGAAAGGGAGCCGCAGCATCTCCCTGTTTTATGCTAAACAATGCTAAATCTACAAGTTGTTCCCCAAGGAAGTTCAACTGAAATTATAAAATTAATACTGAACGTATTGACCAAAACCAAAAAGATCTAATACATCAAATAAAAAAAATATGTTTTACAGTATCAAAGGCTTTGTATATATCTATAAATAGAACGTAACTCTTATTGGTTATGTAATCCTTAAATCTAAGACTGGATGTCATTACTCATATGTTTTCCTTAAAGCCAGACAGACAACCAGGGTGACACCAACTTACAAAATTACATCATCCATGCAGCACTCTATAATGCTTTTATAGATTTCCAATATTTTAATTGCCACTAAATCGAAAGAAATGCTAGGCCTAATGTGTGAAATTGTGTCATTATTACTCCTCCTGCATATCTTTAAATGAATTATTAAGAAAAAGGTAAAATCTGAATATTTCCCTGCTCTCTCTCTCTCTCTCTAGGCGCGTTTCCATTACAGATTTGCGCAAAACCTCTCTCAAATGTCTGTTTATATCAGATCTGCAGAGTTACTGAATTTTACTGTCCCTTTAAGTGTTTGAAAGGCGGAAGCCCCAATGTGCAACGCGGGAAGATGGCGGGTGTGCTAGAAAGGAGTTACATAGAGATCTGCGGATTTGAAAGAGAGTCTGTTTTACGATTCAGACAGATCACACTGAATCTGGGTAACGCCGTTTTAGTTTGAAACTGTTTTAGACACGGCGTTTTCAGTCAGATGTGTTAAAATTGGCTGCGTGAATAAACTGGGACTGTAGAGCTGGCAGCTCGCGTGTGACGCGGGGCGGCAGACTCGGAACAGGCGCTGAATAACAGTCATATAAAAGTCGAATAGCTGTTATATATATTTATATTGTGTTACGCTGCGCGATGTGTTATTTTTCTGAAATTAAAGTTTTTTTCTTCCCTTTTCTTTCAGGGATTTTGTTATGTGCCCCTAAAAGGCAAACGTCACAACGTGTTGGTAGCAAAATACAAGTAACGTTAGCACAGTACAAATATATATGCTGTTTGCGCGCGTGTATGTTTGTTTATATTTTTATATGTAACGTTATATACATACATACATGCATACATAGAGAGAGAAATGGGTCATGTTTTTTTAAGTCATATACTGCTAGTCAAAAGTTTGGCCACATCTACTCTATATTATGACTTTTCCAATTTTTTTGGGGTGAATTCATCTATGCTATGAAATAACACATATAGAAGTAAGGGAATTATAGTGATAAAAATGACAAAGAAATAATGGGGTCCCAACCTTTTTAGCTGAGTTTTGATATTAAAAAGACTTTATCTGAGTTTATCTGCCAAAATGCTTTTAAGATTGTGAGAAATATAAATTCACTGGTTTGCGTGTTGTTTGAGGTGTGTGTTGTTGTGTCCGGCAGGTGTTGGACTTCACTCCAGCGGTGTGAAGTATGCAGACAGTGCAGGGGGATTCTCATATGAGGACAGTGGGAAGCTCCTCTCAGTCACCAGCAACAGATTCATCCACTGGTGAGGCTATGCTTGAATATTTTTCAGCTTCTCATTTGATACAATTGTAACATTATTTTAATAGTTTCTCCAGAAATATCATTCTCAGATCATCTCTCTCAGCTGAGATCTATTACGTTCAGACTGCTTTGATTTTGATAAGTTGAGAGCATACAAACATAAATGTAAATGACAAATAAAATGACAGGAACATTTCCCTGCTTTTGATTGGCGAGTTGTATGTGTCATGGGGACACGGCTATGTTACATGTACTATATTACCTGAGTTTCAATAAAATACCATTTCAGAAAATGCTAACTAATGTAATATATAATAATTGCTGTAACAAGCTTGCATTTACAACTGAGACACATGTTCCTGCTCTAATGTGTCGAGATGCAGATGGAGAAACCATGAGCTGGACTTCAAACAGTCCAAAGACTAGCGCTAGTACCATTGCTAAATTCAACACATAATTGTAAATTCACTGTCTCTTTTCTTTTCCTAATTGTGTGCACACAGAGTGTAACAATTAAAACTTAAAATATTTTTAATTCGTACTGTTGCTGTTTTTTTCCCCTATTACTGGTTGATTAATAAAGAACCCTGTTCATTCTTCAGCAGACTCATATATTTCACAATAAATAGTTTTAGATCTTCAACCAAAGTACCACAAGAAACAAAAGCAACCTGAGTAAGCGCATAATACAGTTTTAATTATAATGTTATTTATTGAAGAAGAAGTGTTATCCAGTACCGCCTGCACCTGTGTGAAAATGGGGCTCAGCTGGAATAGACGCAACCAGGCTTGATCATTGCCAGCCCTGTTCAGTTAAATCAGTGCTTAAATAGAACTTTTTCAGTAGCGTGAATTTGGTTAATAGATCTCACCCAGTAACACAGTAAACCAAAGCTGAAAGACATTCAGTACATAAAATACATAATTCTGGGCAGGGTTACAAAGCTATTTCAGAGGATCTTGGGCTCCAAAGAACCTCATTCATCTGCTGTAAACCAATCACTGAATTCCACAGAAAGAGCATCATACCTACAGTCGAGCATGATGCTAAAGAAGTAAAGCAGTTCTGGAAAGAAGAGTGGACAACAGCACTGTGAAAGTCTGCTCTCCTGTTGTTGAAAGCATTTGGTTGCAGTTATTGCTGCTAAAGGTGGCACAACCATATTTTAAGTTAAGTTAGGTTAAGATAGGTGGTTGATAATTTTTTATTTTATTTTTTTGCTTCAGTAAAAAATAAATAAAAACGGTGTGTGTTTACTCAGGTAGTCATTATGTTGTGTTTCATTTAAAGATTTATTAAAAGTATTTAGTATGAAAAAAACACAAAAACTGAAGAAATCAGGGCAAATACATTTTCACACCACTGTATATGTAGTGTTGTCACAATATAATCTCAGTAGTCGGTACTAATTCTACTAAAATTTCAGTATAATTGGTTCTATATTATAAAAGGAATGCTCTTTACTCACTTTTTTTTTTTAACATAATTCATTCATAATTTGGATAAAAGTGACAACCATGTTTAAATTCAGTATTAAATCCTAAATTGCAGTAATTGATGTTGAAAAATTGACATGCACTGTATCTGATATATATCAGTGGAAGTAGATGTAAATGAAATGCTGTAATGTACACTTTACAATCACAGCAGTCACAATTGTAATCTTATAAAATATGCATGTTTTCTACCCTGATGTGATATTTGGTATGTTCCGAATAAATTTGGTGTAAGTTTATAAATATGAAATCATTTATACATTAAACACATTTTATACTGAGTTCAAAATCACTGAGTTCCTCTGCTGTGAGAATTAAGTTTGTTTGACTTTCAGTATATATGCTTCAGCATGTCTCTTATTTTCTAGGTCCACCTCAGGTGACACGGTTCAGTTTGTTGAGCAGTCGCTGGACACTAATCTTCTGAATAATGCTGTCCGCCTGCGTATCCCAAACTGCCTCTTGTTGCCCGGAGGAGTTTGTATACAAGAGACCCTTAACAACATCATTATTCTGATCGTCACCAGCCAGTCGGTTCATCGCCTGGTGCTGCCGCACCCCACCCGCATGTACCGCAGTGTAAGCGTCTGGACCTTTGCTTTCATAGGCAGTTCCTGACTGCTACTAAATCAAAATGTGTTTTTTCCCTGCAGGTGCAGCTAGAATTTATGTACAACAGTTGTATTATAAAATATCACAGTTTTTTTTTTTTTTGCATGAATTTTGACAGATAACGAATGTAACGGTATTACTTCTGTATATGATCTATACTCCGTGTGGCCTAACAGATTCATCTTTTGTAGGATCTGGTCACTGAACTCCAAATGCAGTCCATTTTCACGGACATTGGGAAGCTGAATTTAAACGAACCGGCCCACAGTTATGTGCTCCCATTTGCACAAGGAACACAGACGACTGCTCCGTCTACATCGGCCGCATGGATCAGTCATGAGGGGGAGGCACTGTTCGCTCTCGCCTCACCATCAGGCGCCATTACTGTTGTCACGTTGCCTGCTCATGATCAAGATGGTTTGTCTATAGTCATCTTTATCTGTCTTTCTGCTCTATATACATTGGTAGTCTGTGGATCGTTAAAGTTTGTTTGCTTGTTCGCTGTAATATACTTTCACAGCGTAGTACATAGTGTCTTCTCAACATGATGCTAACCACATGAACAAGCTACAGTGTTTGAGGGTGGGGTTTTTACTATATTTGATGAGCTCTGTGTGTGTTAATCAATATTTATATATGAATAAAAGCCTGTTCATCATATAAAATGATTGCGTCTCTTCAGAAGGCTTAGATTAAACCACTTAATTCATAATGACTTTTTGGACTTTTTCATGAAAATTTGGTTGCGTGGATTTTCATTGGATAAACAAAAATTCTGAGAGAATGTTATTAATATTTTCATTCGCATTTTGAAGATGATCAGAAGTCTTATGTATGAGTTTGGAACAACGTGATAGTAAATGATGACAGAATTTTTATATTTGACTGAACTAACCCTTCAAGTTTTAATGAGCAGATACCTGTGTTTATAGAAAATAATGATTCCACTTTCTGTTATGAAGGGACTGTGTCCATTTTGGAGTTGAAACAGAGTTCAATGATGCAGCGGTTGGCCGGCTGGATGCCCACCGCCATCAGGTATTTTATTTATTTTGCATAAAGTTTAAATTTATGAGCAGAGCAAAAACGTGGTTTAAACAGAGCATCCATTCACAGGGGAGATCAGAGCATTCCTGACCTGGCCATCAGTCTGGCTGTCCACCAGCTAGAGGATGACACTTTCATATTCGCGCTGTGTCAGGATCATAAGCTGCGCATGTGGTCATTAAAGGTCAGTTTGGCTCCAGGAGAGGATGATGCATATACAAATAAATTCATTTGATCAAGATGTCATTTTTATAATTGCATGCCGCTCACACTGATGTATTAATTGTTTGTCTCTTAGCATCAGATGTGTCTGTTGGTGACTGATATGTTGGAGTATATGCCCGCGGGTCGTGGGGAGGTGAAGGCTTCTCCAGCACTGGCTCATAAGCTCCGTCTCTTCTTCTCCTCATCCATCGGCCTGTGTCTCGCCATCTACCTCGCAGTGCCCAAACGCAGTCAGTTCTGTGTGCTGCAGCTGGTGGCCAGTGAGAACAATCGCTACAGCCTGGATCACATCTCAACACTGTTCACAACACAGGTAGAGATCCGTACAGTAAACGTAGAGTACTTCAACTGTTGGAAGTATACTCACAAGTATGTGTGTTTGTGTGGAACAGGAGACACTAGTGGATTTTGTCTTGACTGCGACTGATATTTGGGCTGTTTGGCTGGATAATGACAACCAGACTGTGGTGAAGTACATCAGTTTTGAGCAGTGAGTATTACAGTTTGATTATAGTTTAAACTATTGAGGTTTGTATTTGGCATCCAACCATCTGGAGAAATTAACTTATAAATACAAATCTTGTCTTAAATATTATACAGATATCAAAACACAATAAACAGAACATATAAGTTATAACTGCAAGCAGCAGTTACTGGGGCAAGCACATCAACACTTGAACAACCAAATGAGCATGTCTTAAAAATCTGTTGATTCTGTGACCTTAATTTTATTATTGTTTGGTTTGCACCAGTTGAAACGGGACCCCTGTTGTCCTAACAGTTTAACAGTGGTTTTCCTGTGCTGCAGTTCCTTCGGCCAGTTCTTGGGAAGGTTCGCTAAGATTTGCAGAAATTTTGGGCCAAGTTTTTTTCCATTTGGAGATAATGGCTCTCACTGTGGTTCTTTGGAGTCCAAGAGTCTTTGTAATAGCTTTGCAACCCTTCCCAGACTATTATCAGGGCTTAAAGTTCTCCGGCACCGTGCCGGATCTCCGGTGTGTGGCGTTTGGCTGCGGGAAAAAAAGATAGCCGTCCTACATTTAAAAACACTTGTTGATATCACGTTCAAGTTCATGAGTTCGCCTTCCAATGTATGAGAGGAACACCGCTTTCACTCTCAACCAAACTAACATTACTAGCCAATCAGAAATTTTTGCTCTTATAAACATGAGACGCGCATAATAGTATCCAATTGCTGAGTCGCGGCTGATGAATGGAAGAGAAGCCTGGGTCTCGAGCGCAACACATTGAAAAAGCTGCGAGGCGCAATGGTCAAAGATTTCCATCTAGCGTCATATTTACATAGAAAAGCTATTAAAAAAGCAGCGGAGCCTTGTAAACAGCTCAGAGTAATCATGTCATCTCCATAAGAACGATATGATTGCCAGAATACATTTATCTGTATTTTTGAAAAGGTACTGTTCACACATGATCTCTTAACGGTAATTTCCAATGAAGACTGTATGTGTGAAAGGGGCTAAACTCTTCCTCTGCATATGCGGTGAGTTTGGGATGCTTAACGTTCATCTGGGAAAACTCACTTGATTTGTAACGTAAATTTCTGACTTTGCATGTGGCCAAATATTAAAATTAAATGGATTTAAATGTTGAATCACGTGAAACCTCACCAGGCTGTTGGCGCCCTCTGCAGGTATTTGTTATAATATAGGCATATTACATTATGTATTTAACAGTGTTGTTCAATAAAACCATGTACTTGGTTTTGATACCATATTTGAGGCCAATTATTATTGCCTCATCGTTACTTTATATATAAATATAGTCATATTAAAGCCTGTTTTTCACTTAGTTCTATTTGTATTACTAAAAAACATCAGATTACTCACTTGTCAAAATAATCAGTAGATTACTTAATTAGCAAAATAATCATTAGTTAAGCCCTAGATTAGTTAGAACATTTCAAAATACAACTGCATTGTTTTACTTTTTGTGATTAAAAGACAAATATTTTGTCATTGAAAATTTCTTAAAGTATTAAAACATTGTCTCGTTCTAGTTAACCAAGTATCTGCACAAGTATTTTGTCTCACCATGTGAGCTAAGTGTATTTATTGTCACACCCCTAGTGTCTATGAGCGTGATAAAGCTCTATAAAGATATTGATTGATAAGTGAGATCTGATTTTAGTCCTTGAAAACCAAAAAAGTAGTGCAAGTCCTTGAAAGTCCTGGAATTTTATTTTGCAGTATCTGTACGAACCCTGTTTAAGTTACCAGTTCTTGGACCATTTTTGTTGTTGTTAACTGAACTGAACTGTAGTTTTCTGTAGTTTCTAGTAGTCTTTGTATATTTCCTATTTTATATTCATTTACTAGTATTTAATTTACCACTATTTCTTTTGAACAAAGCAATTTCAGAAATTTCATGTTTTAGATTGTAGGTCATCTTGTACCCTGTCAAGGACAAAGCTAACCAGCAAAACTTGATATCAAAAGCATCTTAAATGTTACATGTGTTTGCACCATATTGTAGTGAGTAACCTTTCTTGGTATTGCTGTTTCAAATATCCCACCATAATCTGTAGTCTGAGCCTGTCATGGGCTAATGGCAAGGGCAGATACATTACTAGTTAATTTCAATGAAAATCATTTTCAAATAATGTTCTTTTTTTGTTTGCCAAATAACCCTGTGTATGTGTCCGCCCCCGCAACCCCCAACCCCTGGAAAAAAGTTCAGGCTCAGGATTTTTTTTTTGCTTTAACCCCTGTATTATATTCCAGTCACCTTCTTTTCATCATTTCTGTAATTTTATTCACCTTTTACATAGTGCACTCTCAGAAAAAAAAAAACGCCCCAGTGACAGTTTTTTGGCAGTAATCGGGTCTTGTTACATCTGGTTCAGCTGAAACTTCATTATGAATGCAGTTTAATAGATTTGGGAATTAGTAGCTAGGGTTGGGTATCGATTGGGTTTTTTACGATACCGGTGCCAAATCGATACTTTTAAAACGGTACCGGTGCCTGAACCGATACTTTAAAAAAAAAGAGCCACAAAAAAAACGATGGATAACATTAAAGAACATTAAAAATATTTAAAATAAATATACATAGCATTCACATGCTCCTTGGATGCTCTCATTTCCCGAGTTGTGCTTCCCTTACTCTAAGGCTAATAAATGTATTTCACGATCTGGGTCATTATTTAATACAAAACAATATTTAATACAAAACCACACATAATGTTTCTACTGTATCTGTCAGTCACTGATATTTAGTTAAAATGAGTGAATTGACTGAGTGCTGTCTGTCACTGTCTTTAATCAGTTCTGTGAATGACTGTATGGTATGCCACATGCACTGTAATATGTTTTATATAAAATTTTCAAATGAAAATAGCAAATAGCAACATGATCGTTTTATAAAGTATGCGTATGTATGCGTTCATATGTGTTGAGGGCTAGATTTTCACTGGAGGAAACAGCTGTGGTGTGATGAGGGGTGAACGCAGCGAAAACTTTACAGTAGATGGGAAACCGATTGCTCCCAGGGGGGTCGTCTTATAATCAGGGTTGTCTTATATTCGGGCCAATACGGTATATTAAATATTGTAAAAAGGGGCATAATATGTCTCCTTTAAAGAGGACTGACTCTGAGGCGATCACGAATTTGTGTACAGTTTATGGAGCTAATCGCTATAGCCCCGCTAAAAATTGCCTAGCGACGCCCATGCTTCTTACGTCTATTTGGGAGAACCAGGACAAATATTTCAATCGATCGCTCAGGCATTTAAGTGGCACCGAAATATGCATTCTGATTCGGTTCTAGTACATACCGGTTACATGGTTTCGGTACCCAACCCTATTAGTAACTGCAGGGGTAAATACATTTTCACACAAGCCCAGTTGAAATTAGATTTTACTTTTTTCAATAAATAACATTCATCATTTAAAAACTGTATTTTGTGATTATCCAGCTTGTCTTTCTTTTATGTTAGATTTTGTTTTAATTTCTGAGATGCACAAAATCGGAATGGTGACACAGCACTGTATTAATGTATAAATATTTACTGCTTTTTCCTGATTTGCCATTTCTGTTTAAAAATTTAGCAACACAACAGGCATGTGGAACCAGGTGTTTGTCCAGCCGTCACCAGAGGAGGAAGTTCACGTTGGTGAAGACCAAGACCCGCGGGTAAGAGCGTTCGCTTCTAATGTCAATGCTGAAACTGATGTGTCAAACATTCTCTGTCTTAAACACTGTTGTCTTTTAACAGGAAATATATCTTGATGTACTTTTTTCACCTCTGCGTTTCACAGCCTCAGCCATCATCAAAGCTTTACAGGTAAAAATCTAAATATACTTCAGTTCACTCTTAATGTGTTTACAACACAATAGATTATTCAGTTAAAGTTCCCAGAAGCCATTTTCTGTAAGTATTCCTCGCAGCAAAGAACAGAAAAAAGGGCAGCTGTTTGTTAAAGTTATTTGTAAGTTCAAATAAAACACAAGAATATTTATTATAATAATTTTTTACCTGTTTTATAATAGTACTTTTTGCCTCATCTGATTAAGAGTAGAGATCGACGGATATATTGATTTACCGATATTTTTCCTGATATTTAAGCATTTTACCGTAATCGGATATCGGGTTTGTAATATCGGATTCACCGATAAAAGCCGCCATCTTGTGGGTGCTTTGAGAATTGCACGCAGGATTGCCATTGCAGCACGTCTGAGGGTAGATGAGACAACAACAACGGCATGGTGCAGGTACTTGATTTGCTGTAGTTAGTAAACTTTATTTAGCATAACAGCCATTTATGCACAAATTAGATGCATTACATAAATGCCTGATATGTAGTTTATGCAGCTTGGCTCTAAGAAATAGAGACCAACTCAGGGATTCATGTAAAATAATCCGTCAAGTCCTGTCCCAATAAAGACATAACTTTGCCCATTGAATTTATAATTTGTCTTAAATCTCATTTTGTAAAATAAAAAAAACAACAACCGTGAATCGAATCGAATCGTTAAATCAGAATCGTGAATCGAATCGTGAGTTGAGTGAATCGTTACATCCCTACTCTCTGTTGTATATTTGCTCATCATTAGTCTCGTGAAGTCTCGTTTCATATTGCTGTTCACTCAGATGCTCAGGAAATGCTCCAGCACGGCCACTGCATGTAACTTTTAACAAGATTCACTTGTTTAAAATGCCCTAAATTGTATTAACATTTACTATATAACCATTATTTCGCTAATAAACATCTAAATAAATACAACTCTATGGAAATTAATTATTTATTATCTCCGCGAGTGATCGCAGTTTGAGTATAGTTCTGTGTAACTGCATAGATAAACTGCGCTGTCAGCAGGCATTTCATAATCTAGAAGGACAAAAACATTATTAATAATTCTGATATAACATTCCTGTTGAGAAATGCAATAAAATACGATGTTTTGTTTGTTATATTCCAATATTCCAGAGAATATTATTCAGTGAATTAACATTATCTAGTGAATTATTCTTGACTCTGTTGCTATTAAACGGCTTATAAACCTACTAAAACTTATATTTAAAATGAAGTTGATACGACTCCTGTCCTTTATTTATTTTCTCCATTTGAAAACATTAGACATTCTACATTTATTTTGCTTATTGTTAATATTAGTGTTGTTGCTGTTGATGCTTTTTATAAATAAAATGTTTTTTATTGTTGTAATATGAAGATTAAATTTAACATGAAAGACTGCTAATTTTCAACACTTAAAAAAGAAAAAAAGATGACTGAAAAGAGGAAAAACCAAAGTGAAGTATGTTCTTACTTCACTCAGTAATTTATTTACTTTATAACAGTAAATAAATATCGGTTCTGCATATCGGTTATAAATAATTGGTATTGGTTATAAAAAAACCAATATCGGTCGTTCACTAATTAAGAGTGTTCTGAAGAAGTCCAAAATAAAGCTAATTGGGGTCATGACTTGACCTCAAATATTCCTCCTTATTGCAAAAAGAGCATTTGTTTAGTGTTAATTTTGTCAGCCATTTTTAATTTAGTCTTCGTCTTTGTCTTTTAAATTAGTCTTAGTCTCAGTTCTGAGTCAAATGTACTTTTTAGTTATAATATTTAGTCAACCTTGTCCTGTTTTTGTTCAGTCAAGTTTTAGTCGACTAAATGTCTGAGCATTTTAGTCTAGTTTTAGTCAATGAAAACTTAGTCATATTTTCGTCATCCTGTATAATGGTTAAACTGATAAAGAGTTATTTTTTCCCTCAAAATTATAATCATAATGATTGTTGTCATTTGAGAAATTTATCACACTTTCACCAATAAGCATGAACCAACAGAATGTGAACTCATACACATGATCTATTTTATTTTAGTGTTCTGATTTATTATAGGCTATTTAATCATTTAAAAATTAATATCAAAGACTTAGATATGCATTCTCTCTGTCTAAATTATGAAAACTGGTAAAAACAAACAAAACATTATATTCTTAATAGTAATTCCAATAATTCCAAATTGCAATAATGTTCCTCTATTAAAGGGGTCATATGATGCAATTTCAATTTTTCCTTTCTCTTTGGAGTGTTACAAGCATGACACGTAACAGTACGAGTCATTATAATCCGTAATTATGTCCCCACTGGATGCAACAAATGCCTCGTTTATAATGAGTTTTAATGTTTTTGTCTCGTCGCTCCGGCCGGGACAAGGCATCACAGTATGGTAAGGGGCGTAACATTTCCGTCACACGCTTGAGGTATTCGGCCAATCACAACGCACTGGATAGCTGGCCAATCAGAGCACACCTTGCTTTTCAGACCGATGAGCTTTGTAAAAATCGACGCGTTTCAGAAAGGCGGGGCATAGAGGAGAAACAATAATGTACAGTATGTGGAAAATAATGTGTTTTTTTAACCTTAAACCGCATAAACACATTTCATTACACCAAATACACAAAATAATGTTCTTTTTAGCAACATCATATGACCCCTTTAAAACAACAGCAGTTAAGCGCATTTATTCAGCAACCATAATGGCAAACAATATAGTCGAGATCTCATGAAAGAACACAGACTGGCTGATTGACACTTTCATTGAAGCCGAACATCTCACACGGAGATCGCCAAACTTCAGCTTACTTGTTTGTCGGTGTTTTCAGATCATCATCGGCGCTTCTGCAATGCAGCGTGTGCACATGGTTGCCAGATAATATTTTGTCTCCTTTTTTTTGGCAAAAATAAAAAGATTTTTGTAAAGTTTTTATTTTTTAAAATACATTTTAGTCTCTTCTTTTATCGTCAATGATATTGCATGTTGATATAGTCACAGTTATTGTTTATTGACCTTATTGTCGTCTCGTCATCGTCTCGTATTAGTCATGGGGAAAAAAGCTTGTCAACGACCATTTTTCGTCATAGTGTTCTTCAACGAAATTAACACTACATTTGTTGAAACCCAGCAGCCAAAACGACTTGTTTTTTACTGCTTCCACATTGTGATGTCTTAAAATTAAGGCCTTAAAAGTAGGGCTGTGCGATTAATCGAAATCGTCATAAAATCGCGATTTGAGCTTGCGCAATTTCTAAATCGCTTTATAGCACGATTTTCCGCGCCCCCGACCTCCTGCAGTATGCTATCCGAACCAATCAGAATGCAGCGGTCCTAAATGGAGCACGAGAACAGAACAGACCGGGCGGGCATACAAACGTACATACACACTCCGTCTGTGGTGCGTATTTTTTCCGCGCCCATGTTAACGGATCAGAGCGTTCTCACTGCACGCGATTGCGGTCCGGCAGTGTGCTCCAGGAGCGGTGCGTCTGCAGCAGTCATGCTGCGATTTTTTCCGCACGGAATCTATTTCTGCTGTGGTGCACGCGCTGAATTAAAGTGGCAGCGCATTATTCGCGGTAAAAATTAATATGGATTGACACGGAAATTTAGCAATTACACCATAAATGCATATAATTAAAGCATACTGTTTCACAGTCAACACATGGCTTTTTGGCTAGATTTAAAACAAGGAAAAGTGCACTTTTAGATAAACAAGGCAATAATAGATGGCACTCGTGGTGATTTATTTTTTTGCCATATGTCTATTCTAGAGACATTTTGTTACACCATTACTTAGTGATTATTTTGCCTTATGTCTGTTCTAGATACATGTTACAGCTTTTTGATAAAGCTCTAATTGGTTTTCCTTTGGAAATATGTTTCAAATTCACACTGAATGCATTAATGACTGTAAAGCATGTCTGTGATTAAAATCGAAATCGCAAAATTGATCAAAGAAATCGCGATAGGTTTTTTTTGTCCATATCGCACAGCCCTACTTAAAAGGGTCTCAAATTGGAACAGGTCAATGCATAAGTTCACATTTATTTAGAAGAGTTGATTCCTTTTTTCCAGATCTACAAGCGAGATACAGAGCGATATTCTGACTTGTCATGGGAGGAGCTGAAGAAAAGGGTTACGGTCACAGTGGAAAACGAGGTAAGGTGGTGCTATTTTCCCCTTTGTGTTCATTTCTTCGTCTGTGTTTCCACTAGGGCTGTCGCGATTCGTCGATTTTATTAGACTATTCGATTTTTAAAAATCCTCGATTTCATTTTGCTCGCGTCGACTAACCGGCAAAATACTGGAAGTCTGAATGAAATGATGCTTGGTCAATATTAAACAAATATTAGATTGCACAGTAATGTGTAAAAACAATCATCAGGCCGTTGGTGCCCTCTGCAGGCCTTTGTTGTAATGCGTAATGTACATTAGTTCAATTGTTTATAATACATTGTATTTTAACAATTTTGTTCAATAAAACCATATGATTTCTTGCTTTTGATACTTTATTTGAACTAATTATTATTGCCTCATTGCTATTATATATGTATTTTAAGTAATTTTAAAGGCTATTGTTCACTAGTACATGCGTCACACAGCGGCTCCGTTCACAGTAGTTCCACAGGAACTGTTATCAATTACATGTGTGGAGCGTCTCAAACTCTATCTCTGCATGTTGTTGTGAGTTTGGGTTTATTATAACGTTCATCTGGGAACGCAACATGCGCCATTTCATCAAGTTTGTAAGGTAAATCATTTATAAATCTACGCAAACACAGAAGAATACATCGCGGTTTCAAAATAAAATCTCAAACCCTCACTCTGAGTTTACACGTTTTGATGTCCACATATTCATTTAATTACAGTGGGTATAGCATTTCTGTCCTAAAGAAATGGCCAAATATTAAAGATTAAAGTGGACATTGAATGAAATGGTGCTTGGTCAATATTAAACAAGTATTGTTTATTTGTCTATGTGGTGTTTTTAATATGCTTTTAGACAAACCATGTGTCAATCCATTTATCAACACCATTGCTGAGTATTTTCTCCTTAAAACTGTAGTTTCCCAAAGGCAGTCACAGAAACGCGGTTTGAAACAGCCTTTTTTTTGCTACGTC